GAAGAGAAAATATTTTTCTGTCCCTGGCAAAAATTATATTATAGCGGTTCAGATTTTCTTCTTTTGAGAGAATTCATGCAGCAGTTCAAGAGGAAGAGACATTCCTGGGTTTTGACTCTAGAATCTCATTGATTGATTGATTGATTGATTGATTGATTGATTGATTGACTGCTGTTTTGACAGGAACCTTCTGCCTTTTTTTTTTTCATGCTGGTAAATAGAAAAGACCTGAGTAACTCTTCTTTTTATGACCTCACCGTGGGTTCCTCCTTGCTCATATTCAATATGCCTTTCAAATTTGCCTCTTCCTGATCTTGATATGTCTATGACGAACCAAAGTCTATTTTAAAGTAGGAGCGTGGCTTTCGATTTTCTTGAGACAATCTTGTTTTGTTTCTTTTTCAGAACCAGCAGCCAGCTACCACTGTCATAAATTCTGTTTAATGTATATGTTACCAGCAATGTTTGAAATAATCTTTGAAAAATCTTTCAGGACCAGCTCCTTGCCTAACCTATGGTCACAAGCCACAGTCATCCCCATCTTCAAAAAGGGAGACCCAAGCCTAGTTGAAAATTACAGGCCAATCTCCTTATGCTGCGTCACCTGTAAAGTCATGGAATCAATTATTAACCAATCCATCATCCTCCACTTAGAGACAAATAACCTACTCTCCAATAAACAATTTGGTTTCAGGAAAAAACTATCCTGTAATCTGCAACTCTTACACTGCAAAAACATATGGACGACACAACTCGACCAGGGCAAAACAATAGACGCAATCTACATAGACTTCTGTAAAGCCTTTGATTCAGTGGTACACGACAAACTACTCCTAAAAATAAAATCCTATGGTATCTCTGGACAACTGAATAACTGGATAGAAGCATTCCTGTCAAACAGACAACAAATGGTCAAAATCGGGAGCGTCCTATCAAATCCAGTACCTGTCAATAGTGGTGTTCCCCAAGGCAGTGTTCTAGGACCAACTCTCTTCATACTCTACATAAACGACCTCTGTGATCATATTAAGAGCAATTGCGTTCTCTTCGCTGATGATGTAAAGCTGTTCAATACCACAGACAATACTGCTACCCTACAAAAAGATCTTGACTATGTATCCGAATGGTCAAACAAATGGCAACTTCAAATCTCAACAAATAAATGCTCTGTCTTACATATTGGCAAAAAAAATCAGAAAATAAAATACAAGCTGAATAGTCAAGATCTTGTTGATGACCCAAGCTCTGTAAAGGACCTTGGAATACTCACCTCTAATGATCTAAGTGCTAGAGCACACTGCAACTACATAGCCAAAAAGGCATTAAGAGTTGTTAACCTAATCCTACGTAGCTTTTTCTCTGGTAATATCACACTACTAACCAGAGCATACAAAACATTTGCTAGACCAATACTCGAATACAGTTCATCAGTCTGGAACCCACATTACGTATCTGATATTAGCACAATTGAGAAAGTCCAGAAATATTTCACAAGAAGAGTTCTCCACTCCTCTACTCGCTGTAGAATACCTTATGCCACCAGACTTGAAATTCTAGAACTAGAAAACCTTGAATTACGCCGTCTTCGGTCTGACTTAAGCATGGTATACAAAATCATACATTGCAATGTCCTACCTGTCAATGAATACTTCAGCTTCAACCATAACAACACAAGAGCACACAATAGATACAAACTCAAAGTAAACCGCACCAAACTTGATTGCAGGAAATACGAATTCAGCAATAGAGTGGTCAATGTCTGGAATACTCTACCCGACTCTGTAGTTTCTTCCCCAAACCCCAAAAACTTTAACCTTAGACTGTCTACTATTGACCTCACCCCTTTCCTAAGAGTGCATAAGCGCACCAACGTGCCTACCGTCCCTGTCCTATTGTTTCTCTTATTCTTTTATTTTTCTTATATGTACCCATTTCATGTATTCACAACTATGTATACACTTATACTTATTATCTTGTAAACAATTGGCAAATCAAATAAATAAAATAAAATAAATAAATAAATGTGTGAAAAGCTGGTACTGTATAGAATAGCAATAGCACTTAGACTTATATACCGCTTTATAATACTTTACACCCCTCTCTAAGCGGATTACAGAGTCAGCATATTGCCCCCAACAATCTGGGTCCTCATTTTACCCACCTCGGAAGGATGGAAGACTGAGTCAACCTTGAGCCTGGTGAGATTCGAACTGCCAAATTGTAGGCAGCTGGCTGCAGAAGTAGCTTGCAGTACTGCACTCTAACCACTGCACCCCAGAGGCTCAATGCTTAAAAAGAATGCTTAGGAAATCTACAAGAATGAGTGACATTTTAAGTGAAGTATGAAATGTCTATGTTTAATATACTATATACTTTCCCTAAGCATTGTATATAATACTTAGAGTGCAGAATGGCAAGAACTATTTAGGCCAAGTATGAAAAGAGGGTCATGAATCAGAATCAGAATAGAATTGAGCTAGAAGGGACCTTGGAGGTCTTCTAGTCCAACCCCCTGCTCAAGCAGGAGACCCTATACCATTTCAGACAAGCGACTGTTCAGTTTCTTGTTAAAAACCTCCAGTGATGGAGCACCCACAACTTCTGAAGTTTGGTTAATTGTCCTCACAGTTAGGAAATTTCTCCTTAATTCCAGATTGCTTCTCTCCTTGATTAGTTTCCATCCATTGCTTCTTGTCTTGCCTTCAGGTGCTTTGGAAAATAAGTTGACCTCCTTTTCTTTGTGGCAGCCCCTCAAATATTGGAAGATATTATCATGTCGTCCTAATCCTTCTTTTCTCTAGATTAGCCAAACCCAAATCCTGCAACCGTTCTTCAAATGTTTCAGTCTCTAGGCCTTTAATGAAAAGGATTACAGTTAGTGTTTATAGAAAAGATAAACATGAAAATGAAAGAAGGAATCCAAAATAAAGTACAAGACTTTCTTATTGGGGGAAAAAAAAACCAGTTAAAAAAGCCAATATTGACTTGTTGCAACAAGGAAAGCTAGAAGGGAATTTTAGCAGGAGTATCTTATACTTCGCTAGTTTGTCTTTTGGCATTGCGTAGAATGCTTTGGAAATGTGTGAAATATTATGTGTTTCATGCTCTGATATCCCATTTTTACTTTCTATAGATTTCCTAGGCACTCTATAAAATGCCTAAATTCACACACTGACAGTAATCTATATAAACCGTTCCTTTCTTTCATCAATCACCTGTAATGAAGAAAGGAAGGACTTGTACACATTAAATAGAAACACACCTCTCCACAGGAGGTTCTCCCTCAGTTCAGAATCTACTCCAAACCCATCTGGAGTGAACTTACAACACTGGCTAATTTGTGTTCATTTGTTCCTGAACCTGCCTAGTCTATTTGAAACCAGAGCAGTGATGTAGAGGCCTCTGTCGATGTTGGAAGGAAATTGTCTTCTCTTGGGTGAGAATTCCTGCCTCATACTCAGGGGAGGGCTGCTAATGGTTCTCACCGGTTTGGGCAAACCGGATGTTAATTTTACATCCGGTTCGCTGAACTGGTAGTTACAACAACCACCCACACCACCTTGCCCATCCCAGGAGTCTCCATGCGTCCCGTTTTGGGTCCCAGGTAAGTGCAGGGCCCATGTGGAATCTCGGGGCAGGGGGGAAATGGGCTTCCCAGAGGCTCAAGGAAAGTCTCCAGAACCCAGGGAGGGCAAAATATGGGCCTCTCAGAAGTTCCAGAAGGGTCTCTGGAGCTCAGGGAGCCCTTCTGGAGCCTCGAGGAAAGCCTCTGGAGCATGGGGAGGGTGAAATCGACCCCCCCGGCCATGGTGCAGGAGGCTAACTAGGCCATGCCCACGGTGGCCATGCCCACCCACCAACCGGGCAGTGGACCTGTTGCTAAATTTTTTTAAAGCCCACCCCTGCTCATCCTGCTCTAGGATTTCATCTGTTTCACGAATGACAACAGCACAATGGAACAGCACTGACCCAACAGTATGACTAAGATCCCTTTTTAAAAGGGAATCGGCACTTGAGAGCACTTTAAGAATTCAAGGGAGAATTTTGATGCTAGCACCACTGGCTAGGGAATTCTGAGCGTTGACATCCGCAGCTCTTAAAATTGAGAAACACTGTTGTAGTTTACACTTTGAAATAGTGGAGATGTTTCATTTTCCCCAGAGGACGTCTGCCATGCTACTTACTCTTCTTCCAGGGAAAATCCCATTAAAATTACTTCACAGCAAATACAAATTGGATCTGGCTACAGAGATAGTACCTGCAAGTTTGATGAAGGTAGGATAGGATAGGATAGGATGGGACAAGGCAGGGCAGGGCAGGGCAGGGCAGGGCAGGATGGTAGGGATAGATAGGAATAGGAATAGGAATAGAATAGAATAGAATAGAATAGAATAGAATAGAATAGAATAGA